GTTTCTTTGGTGAGACTTGTCATGAGTGATTCCAGCTTTTCTATTCTGCTAATTACTTCTGCTGTACAAGCCATAAAGTCTGCTCTTACATTTATCTTCCTTAACTACCCGGTAACTGCGCTGTGTTTCCACAGGCCCCCCAGCATCCACAAAGCCCCTGTCTCATGAGTGCAGAGTCACTTTCCTTTGTTTTGTAGCGCTTACTCATGGATGCCTGAATTACTAGATCCTTTCCTTCGGCTGTTAACATTTTCCCTGTTGGCTAATCTGCTTAAGCCCAAGGTCTTTGAGATTTCTTTTTCCTGAGATCTTTGGTAACTTCAGTATTTTTTAATTTTTCCTTTATTCCTCACTTTCTGACTCTCATCATTCTGATGGTGATTTCCCTAGGGCCTGGATGCTCAAAGCATCTCATCCTCCTCTCATGCAGGGCAATCACAGCTGACCAAGCTTGCTCTCTGACCCAGGTGACTTCTGGGGGATGCTGGGCTCTTTCCCTTGGGCTTAGGGGAATGCCACACAGTCCCTCTCCCCCACACCCCTGTGTCCTGCCCCTGCTTCCTCTTTTCCTCAGTTGCCTGGCCCAGCTTTCACAGCCTGAACAAACTTCCACCGTTTGGATTCCGGATTTCTGCAGCCTGGGGAAGGTGGGGAGATGGGTGGTGTAGAGCTGAATCCTGCTGCAGGCTGGTAGGAGCTCCCGGAGCTCGGCGCCCAGAGCACAGCTGACTGTGGGAGAGGGGTACCCTGGGAGTCTGCGTTAGAGGGCAGAGATCATTGGCCTGCTTGACTGTTAGTACATCCGATTTTCACCTTGTATGAGTTCTCGGTATCCAACTGAAGCTGAAAGGGCTTTTATCTGTGGCTCACAATTTCTGTCTTGAGGTCTGAGAGATCTCGAGAATCACAGAAAAGCTTGGCTTGTCCGTCTGGATGGTTTCGTGGTTCCCAAACTCCCTCTTTGTATGCAGCAGGCAGAGTCCTCATGGAGATGAGGCTGGACTCCCCGCAGCCGAGTTCTGCGCATGGTTTGCCTGAAGGTATCTAGGAAGATCAAACTGTATTCCTCGTCAGGCAAGGGGACTTGATAAAACTGAAGAATGAAAATAAATGGGCACCGGGGCTGAGTTAAAGACAGACTTCCAGGCACGCACTCTTCGGGGTTCTCGTCCCCCGGGGAGCGAGCTGCCCCGCGTAGTCTAAACCCTTTTGCATTCGCCTGAGCTTCCTGATGTAGCTCACTTCCCAAACAAGAGCTCAGCCTGCGCCTGAAGGAGATTGAATGGGGACTGCACGGCTTCTTCACCACTGCTCTGGTCCAGCCAAAGTAAGGCCTCCAGTGTGATGAGTGTGCAGCACTCATTGGCGGTGTGGAGCATGCCTCGGGGTCCCAGGAGACCCCGGCTCTGGCTACTTTCTGGGGCACCACGTCCCCTTTGCTCCAGCTGCTCTTCTGTAAGTTCTTTCCATGTGTGAACCCAGCATCTCATCACCCCCATCCAATCACTCTCCAAGGACTCCTAGGAACCAACTCACTGAAAGCCCCACCGGAGAATTCTCAGCCTGGGGGGGGGGGCAGGGAGAATCAGGCAGAGATAAGGACAGGGGCCTTGAGCTCCGCAGATCAATGCCCGGACTTCACATTGTTTTAAATGGGGAGGGCAGCCTGAGGCCCAGCTGATCTCCGTACAGGAGCACACCACGAGATTCCACACTTCGGCCCCATGTGTCCCAGCTGCCACCCAGAGACGGGCAGCCGCTAGTTAGCGGAGATGGCCACATGAGAGGAGAGTGCATCCAAAAGGAAAAAGTCCATGAGAAAAGAAGGCGCGGGGCCCTCCGGCGCTCGGCCGCACCGCAGCATTCTGCTCCGCACAGAGACAAACGCAAAAATAGACTTGTTTTCACTCCACAGTGGAAGCTGATGGAAATAGAACATGATAGAGATTGAACAACACGCCCCCCATTGAGGAGAGGCACCAAACGCCCAAGACTGACAGCACTCACAAATCGATAAATGAGACGCTTTTTGAGCATTGGGATACAATGGAACCAGAACTGGAGGTGGGCTGTCCCCCAAGACCTCCAAGGTTCTGCCTCCTCACCTGAGTCTCTCAGGACCCTTCTTTCCATCGAAACGTCGAACCAAGTGCCACCTCCTGTAGGAGGGCTTCCCTGATTGCCTCCAACTCTGACACTACTTGGTGTTTACTTTGGAAGTATTCCATCGTGACTTTTCTGTGTGTGTGGCTTCATACCCACCGAATGGAGACAACTTGGGGGCAGCCACTGCGTGCGTATCCCCGGAGCCAAGCCCACGCGCCAGCACACTCTAAGCTCTCGATAAACGCTTCTTGAATTGACCTGAATTGGAATCCAAAGAGCTGGGTTCGAGTCTCAGCTGACACAAAATGCCTGCTGTCTCTCAATCTCAGGCTCCTCTGCTGTAAAAATGAAGGGCCGGCAGAGACCAGCTAGCTTATGCAGGGTTACTGACAAAGCGAACCGTTTGTAAATCTTAAGACGCTACGCGATGTGAACTTCGATCATCGCTCCTCATACGGTCTGATGGAACTCAGAGACCAGACTTGGACAACATTTCCATCGCGCTGGTCTTTTTTGTTTGTGTAACATCTTGTAACTATCCTGCGTTCTGTAATGTTCTGTAGCTACCAGAACGTGACTTGGGATTCCTAGCGGTTTCTTTCTTGTTTTAAACCTTATATGTCATTCCTCAGCAAATTCTGTGCTATTATGGGAGGGCGTCCTGTTTGAGGCACCTAGGGAACTCGGTGGATAAGGAACTGGGACCGGAGTCAGGAAGAACAGAGTTCAAATCCTGCCCCAGACCCTCACTGGCTGTGTAACCGTATGCAAGTCACTTAACCTCTGCCTCAGTTTCCTCATCTGTAGAATGGGGATAACAATAGCACCTACCTCCCAGTGTGATTGGAAGGATCACATGAAATATTTGTAAAGTGCTTAGCACACAGTTACTGGCACACAGTAGGAATTACACAAATGGCAACTACTATCACATGTAACATAACTCATTCAAACCTTGAAGATGTCTTGTGATGCGTCTGGTCTGGAAGGAGGGATATGCGGGGAGTCAGTTCCCTTCTCCCCAAATTTCCTGATGCACTGGCAGAGAAGCCCACTCGCGGGATCCCCGGTGGGTCCCTCAGCTCTGAGCCTGTTGCCGAGTTTTGGCTTCCTTCCAGATCTCAGGGAATATCCACTGTCCAAGAGACAAACAGGAGGAAATGCTTCTGAATAGCATTTTTCTGCTCTGCAGTCACCTCAGGAGCTCCAATTCAGCAAGGCAGGCATGTGAATTCCTGAGCTGTACAGTTCAATGAGACATTTTTTAAACTCAGGTGGGATTCAAAGGAATGACTTCCTGCTGGTGAGAGCCCCAGAATAACAGCATCTTTTTAAAAACACACATAACGCAGAATGGAAAAAATTCCATCGAACAACTGAAGATGTTTGAGTAACACAGTCATTTGGGCATTTATTTCCTGCCCCTGCTAATCCACAAAAAGAAAGGAATCGTGCTTTAAACAAGGGGTGGGGGGACAGGCATATCAATTAACAAGGCAATTTTTCGCACAGAGGTACAACAAGAATGCATAATTGATCGATCTGCCGAGGCTCAGGGCCAGGGGCTGAGCTCAGTCCCCCTGGCTTAGACTTCACCAAACCTCATCCAAATAACCCAATTACTGCTGCCCCGAGGCAGCGCAGGAATGCTTCCAGAATCAGCCTTCTCGGAACAGCTCCATGCCTGTCTCTGCACAAGGAACTCTCTTTTTGTTGAAGGTTTCATGCCCCTGGGCTCAGCTGGAGCTTTGTAGAACGGGAAAAAAGAAAACAAAAGGAGAAACAAGAAGGATTCAGCTTAAATTTTGGCTATCAATGCAAAACATGACCTTTTCTTCCCTGCAGTGAAAGCTTTTCTCTCTGAAATACAAAGGGGGAAAGGTATGAAAGTAAAAGGTCAAAATGGAGGCCCACCCAGGAGAATCACTAGCCAGTGGACTACTTGGGCAGAGATGGGGTTAGAACTGTGGGTCGGGGATTTCCTCGTTTTTTCCCTTTCTAAAATAGCATTTATTTCTCTCTCTCCCACCTACCCACCTCCATTAAAAACAACAACAACCTCATGTCCACATTGGCTACGCCCAAAAATGTTTATCTCTTTCTGCATCTTCATCCATCACTGTTCCATCACAAGGTGGGGAGCAGGCGCCATCTTCAGTCTGCTGGAACGGGGCTTGCTCATTGATTGCATTGATCAGACTTCTCTGGTCTTTCCGAGTCGTTGGGTATTTCAGTCTTCTTGTTACACTGTAACTGTTCTACTAGCCTGGATCACCTCAGTCTGCATCAGTCCACAGAGCTTGTCCCAGTTTTCTCTGAAACCGTCCACTTCAGCATTTCTTACAACATGATGATATGTCATTACATTCATGCGTCTTTATCTAGCCTTTCCCCCATGTGATGAGCTCCTCCTTGGCGGCTATCTTTTTTCATCCCTAGTGATCTTTTGTTCTTGTTTTTATCTCTTTAGGGTAGAGACCTAGTAGTAGCATCACTAGGTCAAAGGGCATGCACATTTTGGTAACTTTCTGGGCATATGTGATTCCATTTTTTTTTCCCAGACAGGCAGGACCAGCTCAGAGCTCCACTTATGGCTCCTTAGCATGTGTTTTCCCATGGCTGTGGGGGCTTTGCTGACTAGTTCCCTAGCTCCAGACCCTGTGCTGACTCTTTAACCATGAAAAAAGACCACTTTCCCTCATGAAAGTCATAAGTCCTTAGAATGCACCAGAGGCTCATAGATCCAGAACTGATGAGAGGTCATTAAGTCCAATCCTTTTGTCAGATAAGTGAGGAAACTGAGGCATAGAGAACTCATGCGACCTTCCGAGGATCACATAGTCAGTCATCAAACATTTGTAAAGTACTTGCCATGTGAAAGACACTATACTAACCTTTGGAGAAGCTAAGCAGGAGTTGAACCCAGGTCTTCAAGATTCCACCAGGCTTTGTCCATTACACAGTACAGTCTCATTCTAAAAAGTGCCTAGGAGACAAAACCAAACATTGCAGAAAAATCAGATTGTAAAATGGGGCCATTTTATAATTTCTCCCTCCCTCCCTCTCTCTCTCTCTCTCTCTCACACACACACACACACACACACACACACACACACACACAAACATACATATACACACTACTGCAGGACAGTGTAAAGAGCTCTGGAGGCCAAGTCAAAGGATAAGTGTTCAAACTCTTTCTTTGTCATTCGTCATTCATGTGACCTTGGGCAAGTCAACAAACCTCTTCAGATTTCAATTTCCCTAGCTGTAAAATAAGAAGTTTGGATTAGATACCTCTAAGGTCCATTTCTGGGTCTAAATCTAAGATCCCACACTTCAAAAAAACCAGTTAGCTTTAGAACATGCTGATTTGAAAATTGCATCTCTAAGTTCTAGCGTGGACTCCATACATCTCCTCGTCTGCTTCCTGACGTGGGCGCTTGATCTCTGTACACCGTCTTGCTTTTGCATGATGGGAGGGCGGCTACAGACCCAACCCCCACGGACACCCCAAGTACCAGTTGCAATTGAGCTAAGGGGAGGGAGGGGATGCAATAGACAAGCCAGCTGCGTCTATGCTGCAAAATGAATCCAGATGTTTCAACAACTGTTCAGATTATTTGGTAGCATCCTCCCTGAATGGAGAATTAACTGACATAACACATTTCAGCTGTAGACCCTTTTGTAAAGGATTCCAGTGTTTGGGATGGGAAGGAGAAAACCTGGTTGCTCTTAGAGGAGGACAGCCCAGCTTCACATAAGTGGCTGCCACTCAAGCGTCAGCCCCTAGCATCCATTTCCCTGTTAATTAGGTGGGCGTGATGATCATGGCAATAACTCTAATTTCTATACTAGCATAAGGTTCACACAGAGATTTCTTCACAGAAACTCCATCAGGTAGGAAGTCCAAATGTGCCTATTTCACAGATGGGGAAATTGAGGAATACTATGGTTAGGTCACCTGCTCAGGGTCATGGCTGACAAGCGTTGGAAGTGGGACTCCAGCCCAGGAGGGTGTCCTGACTCCAAGCCAGCATTCAGTCCATCGTTTCCCACAGGCCAGTGAGCAGGGAGAAGGCACGTCCCCTCCTGTCTATGCTCTCCTCTGGTTCTTCCTTTCCTTCTGAAAGAGCCGGTGGCCAGCTGCTGCTTTCCATCTCCCCTCGCACCTGAGAAAGCTGCAAGCTTGGTAAAGCTGTGCTTCAAGCAGTGAGGGAGGGTCACTACAAGAGGGATTCTTGTCCCTTCACGGCTCTAGGGCTCAGAAGAGCCCGACTTCTGGCCCTCGCTCTGCCATGAATTGGTTGCATGAGCTTGGGCCAATTGCGAAAATGTTTTGGGATATCTTGACCTCCATAAAATAAGAGCCGCAATGTGACCGAGTGGAGAGAGTGACCGACTGAAGCGTGAAGGCTTGTCTCCACAACTACGTAGGATTAGGCAAGTCACTTAACAGACAATAATCATTTATTAAGCACCTCCTACATGCCAGCCATTGTGTTTAATGTCTCTTAGCCTTTTCCTTAATCTGTAAAATGAAAACAAAAATAACAAAAATAGTCAGCTACTAAGCGATAATAATAACAGCTAGAATTTAGATGGTGCTTTAAACTCCACAAAGCACTTTAAAAACATTTCATTTTATCCTCAGAACAACCCATTTCACAGATGAGGAAATTGAAGTAGGCAGTGGTTACCGGACGTGTGCAGCCACACAATTAGTAAGTGCTTGAGACTGGATTTTAATTCCACTCTGCCTGACTCCAGTTGTAGCGCTCTATTCATTGGCTACCTAGTACTCACCTCAGGGTCGTAGTGGGGGTCAATGGAAGGTGCTTTGAAAACTTGAAAGAGGTCTAGAAACATCAGATTCATGGGTTTTGTGGACATCACAAATGGCACTGATGTTGACTGTAACATTTCGATCCAATGGAGCAACGTCATTCCAAGAGCATCTAAGGATGAAAATGGTGGGAAGGAGGAGCAGGACAGAGAGACCATAAACAAAAGAAAATGGTCATGGGAGTAAGAAATGGGGTGGACCGACAACAAACAGAAAAAAATAAAAGATTGGTAAAAGTCGTAAACAAAACTGCTTTTGTCCAACAAGGAAAGCAGAACTTTACCATCGTAGTGCCAGGGGTGCTTACAGGGGACGTAGAAACGGGACCAAATAATGAAGATGGGGAAGCAGAAGGACTGGATCCAATAGGGAGGGAGGAGCTCCATGTTGGAGGTGACCCCATTGTTGAAGGATCAGTATTCAAGGTATCAGATAAAGGCAAGATATTGAAGGTATGGGAAAAAATCCCAGGCTTTATCAATAATGAAAAAATGAAAGAGAAGATTGAAGGTCTTTCAGGTCAAAATCTGTGATTCTAGGACTTAGAATGACTAAATGATCTGATTACTCTTCCATCAAGGCAAAGTCTTTATGAGATCCCCCATACCTCACCCTCAAGTCATGCTTAATGAAGGCATTAATGGGGAAACAACAGGATTTCCAAAATGCTGCTCCACAACTGGGTGAAAGATGTAGAAAACATATTATTCCCCGTGCCTAGTATGAGATTATGAAAAAAGCACTTGAGGCAATAGACCACAAGGCATCGCTATCAATACAACAAAATCATTCTTGTTCCTTGAAAGGTCTAATAACAGAACAAGCTGCACGACCCTCTGATCATAAACACCAGGCCAGTCACAACACAGGATGGTGCACACTTACCGCTGCCATGGAAAAGATGCAGTGCAGAAGAGGGGTTCCCTGGGGATGGGGAGGCCCTACACAGGCCCCTGTTTGCCGATGACATTTGATTGATTGCATCAAGTCCAGGAGCACTGCAGAGCCTCTGAAAGACAGCTAGCCTGACCACCCACACGGTCTATTTATTGTCTGGATTAGAACATGAACTTGGATGGACACCCTGTAACGCTTGTCCATCGTCATGTATGATCATTATGTATATTTGTTATAGACAATTCAGATGAACAATGAACTGGCATGACTGCCTTTGGGAAACTGAAAAGCTCCTTTCATGCCCCCAACTTTCCTCTTAAAACAAAGGCTTTCTAATCCCGAGTTATTCTCTTAATACTAGTGCTGCCTATGCCAAGGCATGAGAAGGGGGGAAAGGGAACACTTATTAAGTGACGACTGGTTTTTCCTACCCATCTGACCACTTTTGTTTATTCTCCTTTGTCAGGTCATCATCTTTCTCCTGCCTCCTAAACTCAAGAACACCCCAGCGTTTTATCCTGGGACATCTTCACTTCTCACATCGCACTCTTTTCTCTTGGTGACTTCATCATTCATCTTGGTGACTACATCTCATTCATTACCTTTGAATGAGAAAACAAACATGCAGTGTTAGGCAAACTTTAGAAAGCACTATCTATCCATCTATCTATCTACCTATCTATCTATCCATCTATCCATCTATCTATCTACCTATCTATCCATCTATCTATCTATCTATCCATCCATCTATCTATCTGACAGCTATCATTATCATCGAATCATAAACTTAATGCCAGTGACTCTGAGATTGATCTATCTAGGCTGTCAGTCAGCTGAAAAGTCGTCACATCACATCAATAAGCATTTATTAAATGCTTGCTGGAGAAGGAAATGGCTAGCCACTCCAGTGTCCTTGCCAAGAAAACTCCAAATAAGGTCACGAAGATTCAGACATGACTGAGATAAGTGAACAACAATAAATGTTTACTGTGTTTGAGGCACTGCTGAAGGCACTGGGGATCCTAAGAAAGTCTCACTTTACCTGATGGTTTCCGAGGTGCCTTTCAGCCCTCACTCTTTGGTTGGGGGATCATCACCTGCCTAATAGATAATTCCATGAAAGCTCACTATCAGCAGCATCTCAGATGCACCGATTTGTCATCTCTTGCCATACGCATGCCATACTGCAAACTTCTGCACTTCTGTAGAGAGGAGCACCATCCTCACAATCACCCAGTTCTGTAACTGTGCATCGCCTCTGAGTCTTCCCTCTCCATCTCCCTCATTCGGATGCCACGCTTTGTAATTCTACCATGAGAACAATCCCTTCCATCCATCCTTGCCCCTCGCATCCCATGACCATGGCTGCCTCCCTAAATTGGGCCTTCACTGCCTTTTACCATTATGCTAGAGTGGCCTCATCATTGATCCCCTTGCCTCCAGGCTCTGCCCTCTCCAATTCATCATCTACCCAACTGCAGAAATGATCTTTCTCAAACACAGGCCTAACATGGTTAGGGCCTCTGCTCAAAGTTCTCTAGTGATTGCCTATGGCCTGTAAGCTAACTACAGTGTCCTTAGTCTGGAATTTTGTGCCCCGCCCCCAGTCTGACCCTCATCCACCTCTGCCCCTTCACTCCATGCTACTCCCCTTTATAACATTCTCCATCCCATCCATATTGGCCCACTCACTATCCCATGAACTTGACCCTCCATTTCTTCCCTCCCTGTCTGTATTTGTATAACCTACCCCAACCCCAGCCCCAGTCCCAGCCAGTGAGTCTGGAATGCATTCATGCCTTATCTTGGCCTCTCAGAATTCCTGTCTTCCTTGAAGGCCCAGGTCAGGAGCCACCTCTTGCAGGAAGCCTTTTCTGTTCCCTTTCCTTCCTGCTTCTTGGCTTTTCTTCCCCCCTTGTCCCTGTACTATCCTCATTCATTCATACAAACACTTAGTAAGCACCCTCTATGTGCCAAGGACTGGTCTAGGTGTTCAAGACCGAAGGACACAAATAAAATCCCTGCCTTTAAGGCTCTTCCATTGTCCTGTCACACTTAGCTGCATCCATGTGTCTTCTCAATGGAACATGATTTGTCCCTTGGTTTTGATGATGTCATTCTAGCCCAGTGCCTGGCACAGTGCCTTACACTGAGGAGGGACCCAACACATATTTGTTGATCCAAACTGAAGAAGAGAAGTCTATACATTTAGCATTTAAACACAATCTAAAACATTTATTCAAATTTTTGTTGTGACATTAGATGCTTGAGAAAACTGCCATTACCTTTAGAGACTAGACATTTAGTCTTTAATTGACCATGTATGCCTAAGGGATGTTTGCTCAGGGGGTGTGGCCTTATAGCCAGAGAGTTTCATTCATTAATTTGAATTCATTCATCTTGTTTTTTATAACTAAAATTGAACTCTTACAAGAGCACATAAGCAAAAATTATAATCGAAAAGGCCATCAGAGCACTGTAAAAAAAACCTGCCAGCAAAAAAGACAGCCAGAGAGAATCTTGAACAAAATTTAAATTTTCGTTCTCAACTATTTTCTCTTTTAAGAAGGTGACTTAAAACAGACTGAACCTGCTGGCCACTCAAAAGTCTTAGTGACCTCTCTATCTAGATGGAGACGTCTGAACAAAGCAAAATGGTAGAACTTCATTCTAGTTCCAAATGGGAGTCAGCAGTAAGTCCTGGTCAAGTCACTTCCTGTCCTGAGCCTCAGTGTCTCCTTGTGAAGGAAGGGGAAAAGTCTGGATGAGCCCCAAAGACTCTTCCAGGCCTGGAGTCAAGTTCTAGACTGCCAGTACCAATGAAATTGAAGCTCGCTAATTGGTAATAAGTAAAATAAAAGGTTGTGTTTTTCTTGATATATACAGTTACACATACATTTTTGGTATGACTTTATTTTACAGCAGTCAATGTGCTCCCTCCAGTATACTGTTTTAAACATCAGGTTTGATTTTCTAATCCCTGTTTCCATTCATTCTTTGTTGTCGGAAGAGGGCCGATGACATCATGACTTTGAGGAAATAGCTTTGCCTCTTTGATAACGAGATCTCACTTTGAAAGAGGCTCCATGAAGACACAGAGTGAACGTTGTCTTAACACGGGCTCCTTCAGCTAGAGCCAGAAGGGATCCCAAAGGTCATCCCAGCCCAACTCCCTCATTTACAGAAGAGAAAAATAAAGCTCAGAGATGTTAAATACTGAAGATCACACAGGTGTTAAGCATCAGAGATGGCATTTGAACCCGGGCCTGCTGATTTCAGAGCCAGTCCTCTCTCTACTGTACTGAGGACAATGCATGTCAGGGGAGAAGAAAAGGAAAGATGTCAGACAGGTAAGGAAGCAGTTGAGTCCCCAAGCAAAGTAGCGATGAGAGCCATTGAAACACGGAGGAGATTTTAGAAATAGCCACTGTGTCTTATGTCCTCTGGGGATGGGATGGACCAACCCACCTGCCTCCCCGAGAAGAACCTGGGGCTTCTGTCTGGCCAGAAGAGCCTGAGAGAATCTGGCTCTGTTTGGAGAAAGCAGGAGTCCACAGCTCTTGCTACTCCCGTCTGTCCGCCTGGTTATGGACAAGGGCCTCCTATCCAGAATGGCACAGTCCAGTTAATGGTTAGCGACAGAACAGAGCTGTGGGCTCCTTGGCCCCTTCTGAACCCGAACCCACTTCTGCTCCCACATCAAAAGTGTAGCTCTTGTCCAGGGTACAATCCAAACAGCTCTGATGTGATAGGCCAGGACGATGAAGAAAAAAAAAAGCTCTGGTATGACCTTGAAACTCAAAAGTTCCACAGTGGCCCCAACGTTGTTGCTCAGTCGTGTCCAACTCTTCTTGACCCCACTGGGGTTTTCTTGGCGGAGAGAATGGAGTGGTTGGCCATTTCCTTCTCCAGCTCATTTGACAGATGAGGAAACTGAGGCAAACAGGGTTAAGTAAGCAGCCCAGGGTCACACAGCTAGTAAGTGTCTGTGGCCAGATTTGAATGCAGGAAGATGAGGCTTCCTGACTCCAAGTTCAGAGCTCTATCCACTGCACCACCTAGCTGCCCCTTATGGCCCCACTCCAGACTTATTTAGAGTACTGATAACCAAAATGAGGCTCTCTCAATATGTTCAATATCTGGAGGCCTTTTCTTCTTATAAATCATTCCCTATGTTAACTCTGGGAGGAAGGTATCACTTTTCCTGTGTTGAAGAATGACAGAAAACCAGGATTAATCAGGACAGATTTTTATTATTTATTTTTTGATGGTATGATTTGGCCAATGCCTAG